AATGCAGGAAAGAAGCAAATTTCTCTTTCCTCATCACCCCTATATTAGTTTGCTAGGGTTACCATAACAAAATACCAGATTGAGTAGCTTAAACAATAGAAATTTATTTTCTCATAGTTGCAGAGGCCAGAAGTGGAAGATCAAGATGTCAGGGGGTTTGATTTCTTATGAGGTCTCTCTCCTTGGCTTGCAGATGGTCATCTTCCTGCTATGTGTTCACATAGCCTTCTCTCTATGTGTGCACATGTTTGGTGTCTCTTTCTCTGTGTCCTAATCTCTTTTTATAAAAACACTAATCACATTGGTTTATGGCCCACCAAATTAACTCTCTTTTAATTACCTCTTTAAAGGCCATATCTCCAAATACACATTATGAGGTACTGAGGGTTAGGGCTTTAATATTAGATTTTGGGTGGGGGGACTCAAATTAGCCTGTAACACATACCATCAATTGTGTCCAATTTCAATTTGCTTTCATTTGGACCACGAGTTCTTCATAAAGCTCTTTGTTTCTTTTTTTTGTGTGTGTTTTGGTTTGTTTTTTAGAAATCCCTAATCCTATATAATAAAACCCTAATATGCAAATCGACCAAACAGCTGAACCACCAGTCGCTATGACATTCACTGACCACCAGGGGGCAGGTGCTCAGCGCAGGAGCTGCCTCCTAGTGGTCAGTGTGCTCCCACAGGGGGGAGTGCCACTCAGTCAGAAGCTGGGCTCACAGCTGGCGAGTGCAGTGGTGGTGGCAGGAGCCTCTCCTGCCTCCGTGGCAGTGCTAAGAACCCCTCGGGGGAGTGGGCCTAAGCCAGCAGGTGGACATCCCCCAAGGGGTCCTGGACTGTGAAAGGGTACAGGCCAGGCTGAGGTACCCCCCCCACCCCCGTGCACGAATTTTTGTGCACTGGGCCTCTAGTTATCTTTACAATTACCTATTTGTACATAACAAATGGCTCCTGTTAACCTCCTTAATGGTGGTGAGGGGCTGGAGATTCGTTTCATCAAGGTCTTTTGATGTTGTGATTTGGTATATAATCACAGAAATCAAAATCTCAGGTTTGTTGATTGTACTTTCTGTTGTTTTCCATACTGCAACAGTCTTTTTTCTTTTTGTATATCTTTATTATCTTTTCACTGGGATCCTAGGAAGGAGGGGGTACAATCATATATTCCCAACCATAAGCCTAGAGGTGAGCTGCCCTGATGGTTGCATATGATTTTGACCTTGGACACATTTCATGGGACAGGGGTGTGCATCTAATGGAGGCCAGACAATGAAGCGTTTTGCAGTCAGGACTGAAAAAGAGAAGTGAGTCTCTAGTTGATAAAGGTCTTAGTCCGTTTGGGTTGCTATAACAAAATAGACACCACAGACTGGGTGGCTTATAAACAATTTATTTCTCACAGTTCTGGAGGCTGTAAGTCCACGATCAGGCTGCCAGCATGGTCAGGTTCTGGTGAAGACCCTCTTCCCACTTGCAAACTTTTTAACGTCTGTGTCCTCACATAGTGGAAGAGAGGAGGGATCTCTCTGGAACCTCTTTTATTTTTTTAAACTTTTGTTTTTAAAATCTATATTGTTGAAAGTATTACCATATGTCCCCTTTTTTCTCTTATTGACCCCTTTTGGCCCACCCCCGCCTAGACCCTCTTTTTTAAGTGCACTAATCCTGTTTGTAAGGGCTCTGTCCTCATGACCTAATCACCTCCCATAGGCCCCCACCTCGTATTGAGCATTTGGTTTTCAACACGTGAATTTGAGGAGACACAAGTATTCAGTCTACAGCAACAGACTGAGAGAGATAAAGGTCAGGAACTTTTCGGGGGAGGCAGCACCATGTTTTCAACTCTGCACTAGAGCAGCGACTTTCAGCCTTTTTCATCTCCTGGTACACCTACACTAAAATCACTAAAATTCTGTGGCATACCAAAAAATACATTTTTGCTAATCTGACAAAAAAATAAAAAATAAAAAAGGTATAACTAGATTCATTCACATTGACGGCTATTGTTGTTTAAAATAAAATAAAATAAAATAATATAGGTATAACTAGATTCATTCACATTGACGGCTATTGTTGTTGGCTGTTGTCGTATTTTTATTTGATAATACAGTGGGGCCTTGACTTACGAGTTTAATTAGTTCCGTAACAGAGCTCGTAACTCAAATGACTCTTATGTCAAATCAAAAAGTGAACGAGTGAGACACGTGATGCTGGGCTGATGTTGTGGCGTTCGCTGCGCCAACTAGCGGTGGGGTATCTGAAGCTGGCTCGTAACCCGAATTTTAGCTCGCAACTCAAAGCAAAAAATCGGCCGAGGGACGGCTCGTATCTCGAAAGTGTTGCATGCCTTACAAATTCTTGAGGCACAGTGTTGAAAATGGCTGCACTAGAGAAGTTCAAGAGGAGCTGAGAGGCACTGGGAGAAAAACCTTAAGAAGGCCCAGTTTCATCTCTTCCTTGGTTTTCCTGGGACACCCTGTATCTTTACAAGCAGTGTCTCCCTTGCTTACACTAACTGTGCGAATTTCTGTCACTAGTAGGAGAGCCAGAAATCCTGCACCGTCTTGGCCCCCTAGGAATGTGGTCAGGCCGCTGATGGAGGAAAGGGGGCATCAAAAAGGGCTTCTGGGAGGGCCCAGGGTTTCTGCCACAGAGGCCTTGGCAGTGGCCTCTGCAGGTAACAAACGCCACCCTTGTGAAGGGAAAAGGTACCAATCAGACGGAGGCTCTTTTCTCGTAGCCCAAGTTTACAGGTTTCTGTCCACAAATTGAGGGGAGGGGTGTAACCCTCTTCCCACTTGCAAACTTTTTAACTTCCGTGTCCTCACATAGAGGAAGAGAGGAGGGACCTCTCAATTTCCCGCAGAGATAATACTGTTTTAAAACTCTCAGAAACACTATTAACTTCAAAGATTTGTCACAAATGGCAAAATGTTCAGTAGGAAACAAATAAAACCCACCATTATTTTGTTCAAATAAGCCTGTGCCTGTCCCCCACGCCCTACATTTTTAACTGCTTTTAACCATATTTGTGTAGCCTTCAGGAAATCGTCTTCCCACTTAAAAACCAGTCCTTTCCTCATCTCTTCCTGAACTTCGCATTTTATTAAAGCTTTTATTTTTAGGAATTGCTATCTTACTTGGAGAGGCTTAAAGAAGAATTCTAAACTCCTCTCCACAAATAAGATGAATACAATTAAAAAAAAAAAAAGACTGTTTGCTCAAACCAATACAAGGCCCTCTTGGTTCAAAGGCTCTGAGAGCAGAAGCGAAGCTCTTCGATGAGTTTCACGTTGGGCTTACAACCGAGGAGGGGCTCAGTGCCTTTAACAAGTAAATAAGTTAAAAAGGCCCAGATCAAACAGTCATTTAAATAACCTTAAC